CTCTATTGCTTATTCGCCGTTGTGGACTCATAAGCAAAGTGCAATTCTTCTGTTCTTTTAAGGTGACAAGGGACGAGGAGACTTAATTTTGCCCATAAATATTTTCGAGTCCATATTGGTTACTTGTCCATCTTCTACTCATTTGAGTTAATATGTCCTGTGAGGGTAGCACGGCGTTAGTCTTCTCCGTCATAATCGCGATGCACTGTCGGATCCAGTGAATTTGCATATTTACTCTCCGTGGATGCAGCAATAAATATGCAGGCTACGTGTCCAAAGAGAAGACCTCAGATGTCCTCCTCCATGCTCAATTAAATAAAATAAAAATGTTGCCACTATTTGTTTTATGATTTATTGCTCAGCTAATAAATGGATTTTCAGTCCGATTGGTGGTAAAAAGCGGTTTGGAAATTTTTGACCTGTTGGCTGTTTCTACTTTGCTCTTGTGAAAGGATGGGTAAATGGAGGGATGAATGGATAGTTGTTTATAGCAAAATTAATAAGTGGAGACAATCTAACGAAAGTATCTGATCGTAAATTACTTCCTGTATTATAACCAATGGGTAAAGGACGGATAGGGGCTTGAAAGCGATCGGCTTGATGCATGAACTTGGATGAAGGAGTGCATGCCCAGGAAGGTAGATTGACATATCCATGGCAGAAGGGGAATGGAGTTAATGAAGTGAATTTGTTGGATATGGATGGATGCATAGATGGGTGAATGGAGGATGGTTGGATGTATTTAGAAGATGTGTATACAACTACTTCTTCCTCCAAACCACCCTCTCTTTTTTCCTCTTCTGGTATCAGATTTCAAGCCCGCCTCCGTCGACTTCAACAACAACCGCCTCCTCCGTCCCATCATCATCTCCTTCCTCGGTGGCATTGGTTATGGCGATGTCATCTCTACTGCCCAAAGTGCCTTTAAGCGTCAGTACGCAGCCGTGACCTCCGCATTGGTTGTTGAGGCCACAGTGGAGCATGCAAAACTCATATCGCCCTTTCAAATTTCATTTGATAACCGAAAGATATTAGTTGCATCAATTTGATTCACTACAACATCTTTAACAATGTTAATTCATAAAGCTTTCCGAATTTTAGGGAAATGAAAAGAGGTCCATTCATAGGGCGCTAATTTGATGACTGACGCGTCCGGCTCGTGGTTGTTTCCTTGGATCACCTACTGCGTTGTGATGGCTGACGCGGGAGGTTGACCAAGGAAAGCGCCGGAGACTCCGCTCAAAAGAGGAGAGGGGCTATGTAGTATGATGGTTGTTTGTCCCTCAGTTTCGGTGAGGGGTCACTTTTGACATGGCCATTGTACAACGCCCGGTGGGCTGGCCTTTGGGCCATGCCAGTAGCTCTAGCACCGTCTGTGTGCCGAATCTATATGTTCGACCCGAGTATTAGGTATTCGTTTCTCATTGCGGAAGTCTCAAGGGGCTACTGAAACTGAGACTAAACGTGGCCGCTCCTGTTTTGACCACTAATATTTCCACACAGGTTCAATGCCACTTGCATTGTGCAAATGGGACTTTAATTAGACAGACTACGTTAACGCGAGAAATTCTGGCATTTCGCTCGTGATACATGTAGGCTGCAAAGTTCATCCGGTCTGTCAGTATGATCAAATTCACTAACTTTCCTATGGGCGATTTCACATTCGTATGCATAATTCCTTCATTTTATTGTTTATTTTCCTATTTGTCAGAACTAATGACGATTGGAAACTGCGCCCTTGCATCCCTTTGTATGTCGTAATGACTGCCTCCTCAGTTGGTCATTCAATAAATGTAAATGCTGCATCCAAAACTTTGCGTCTTCTTTCTCCCGTTTAAAAAGCCAGGAGGGAAGAAATGAGTCAGCTTATGAGTTGTTGAAGCACTGTTGAATGGTATCTTTGTTTCGAGGATATATAATGACTTGACACAAGCGGTAGGAGAGTTTGACTTTCCATCCATTTGTTGTGTCCATATTTGGTCGCGTCTTAACATTTGAGGCAATGCTGTCGGAAAAATCCGATCCCTTGTGATTTGTAACAATCAGAACTGAATATCGGCGTCTTTACCCAACCCGTGACGAATCGGTATTATGAAAACACTTCAGGGGAGGAAGAACCATTCCGGTATTCGTGGTTCATAAATCACCTCCACCAGATTGTATTCTAATTAAGCCTTCTGTTCTTAACAATAGCAAGCTTCATTCTCCAAGCCGAGAGTAGACTTCATCGCCTCTTCTGCATACTACTGTAATCACAAGGTAGTAATATGCTCTTCTGGCATGCAAATCAGATGATGCTATACCTGCAGGGCAACTATCATTCAAGGCTTCCTCACAAACTTGTCTATCCGTCCTGACGAAGTGGGCATCAAACTGGCTCTCTGCTTCATTAGTTCTGGTAATAGATGTACTTTTTGTCTGGTCGCCTGTACCTTATTGGGGTGCCATAGATTGTGTCTCTCTAGGAAAGAATTTCAAATTATGAAGACGCTAGTTTCGAGACACTTGCAGCAGGCAACTTGGACTCAATCGACTACTTCATAGTTACGACTACTGGCCATTTATGCTACAGCTGACTGATATTTCAACGAGGTCATCGGTCGTGCCGCTGGTACACCAATCACTGATCTGCAGCTAATGAAATGCTCATCATCTTTGCCACCGACCATCCCACTGATTGCATGTATGGGGACTGCAGAACCACCTTTGTACTTGTGCCAAGTTAAGGCAACATTGGCAGAGGGGACATCAAACGATGCAACCATCTCGTCAAGTCTTGCAACTTGTGCCGCCCAAGGGGAAGAAGAGGAAGACGAAGACGACGAAAAAGATATACGGCATTATATTATGCTACAACGACCCGGTTGCATTTGAAAGGTCACTGGTAAGTGCCACCTTCATCCAGGAGAATTGACCAGTTCCCCCGTGTGCTACTTCCTACCTCGCAGTACGTCTGCCATACTCAGAAGTGTCAGTAGACGCGTCTCATTTATCCACCCTAATAAAATACCTCTACGGTGGGATAACTTCTCTGTTGGTGTCACACCATGCCTAATTGACACCATTAGCGAGTCATTTATCCCTAATTTTTAAGTCGTGATCTATGTGTGAGAACTTGTTTTTGTGGCACTGAGGAGAACAACGACTATTTAGCAAATTGGCTTTTGCACCGTCTAGTTATAATAATTCCACCCGTGGTGGAGGGTTTGAATGAGGATATTTGGTCGGTTGCAATGGGTGTATAGGGTTTGCAAAATATGCCCCGTTTCAAAGGTGTGGATGTTGGCACAAAGAAGGCGGAAGCAGCACAAAGGGCTGTTGGGGATTTTAACGGCTTTTTTTACTCCTCTCACGTCCATCATATCACCACTGGTAGCAAACTTGAGCTTAAAAGCTTACGACGTTGTTATCTGAACAAATCGCGCGTTATTTTAACAAGTGCCTGAGAATCTGTGTCAGTGTAGATACTACTAAGGCACGAATTGCTGAGATCCACGTGGATCAGTGTAAGGATCCGGTCACTTGACCAAAACAGGGCAAGGCAGCAGAAACGAGATCCACGTAGCTAGGCTCCGAAGCTTTTAGCAGGGCAATGAACGTTTTGTGGGGAGAAAGGGGAGAAAAAGGAAAAGATGAAGGTGAAGAGTGAAGTGGATATCTTAAAGGCGATGAGGGAAGAGAACAAACGTAACAACATCCCTTGCCCATTCACCTATCTGGAACACGAGTATCTCACGAATAAGTGGAATTTGCAATAGAACGCCTGCTTTGAGGTATTGTGCCTTGTAATTGACGGTCTAAATATTGTCACCTCGGTCCTGGTCACGAAGGCCTCAAAAACCATGAAGAGCGGCGTGTTGGGATATGGGGAGAGGAGGTTTATGAAATTCCAGAGGGCAGCTCTGTGGCACAGATGATGGTATCATCAACAAAATGCATTCAGACCTCAAGGACTTTACCATGTGTTGGCAACAGCATAAAGTCCTCCACACCAAGCTAAGGAAATTGGGCTATAAATCAGACCCACACTACCACTAGTGATTCAACCATTGTCAGGACGATCTGCTGAGACAACTCTATTAAGCGTGTCAATTTGAACATAAAGGACTGCCATTTGGTTTGAGTTACTTCAAGAAAGAACAGTTAATATACCGTTTTGTAATAAAATACTCGCTGTTCACATGTTTCGCTTTATTTGATTCTATGTACAACACATAAGAAATGATAAACATGTCGAGGGCATTTCTCAACAAGCTCGTCTTCCTGGTGTCCGAATGTGGCCTACGATTTGCGCGAGTGCGACGCATGGATGAGTGCGTCTGTGGATGCCACAAGTACGTCAACTCTCTCCGCCTAATCAGTGGCAATCCAACGCCTTCTTCCCCTTTCCACCACAAATCGGAGAATATTCCACTGCATTTTCCACTACTGAAAATAAGTGCCTTGGTCTTCTTCTTCTTCTCCTCCTCCTCCTCCTCTCCATTTAGGTTACCCTACTTGTCGCCGTTTGGGTGTGTCCTTCCATCCGGAGCCTCGACTTCACCCTCACCACTAGCGCATAGGCTGGAGAATGCATGCACCATAGAGGTGGGGATGTCTGCTACGTTGTGAAATATAGCCAATCCTGCTATTATTGTCTCAATTTGGTCTCTTTTATCACTTGTAAAAAGGTAATGCCGTCTGCAGTGGCTTGCAGGAATTACGGGGACGGTTTATCACTTTTGACGCGAATGTCGTTTGCTGGAAGCACGCATCTGAGCCTCTAATCCCATGCATTAAGTCTGTTAAATTAGTCGTCAGAGTAGAGTCATGATGTGGTTGAACACCATATGTAGGAATTTTAAACAAATGTACCATGCAAGTTCTTCTTGCTATGGAAGACTGCTTACAAGTTCACCTATCGCGTCTTCAGGGGCCAATTCTAGTATTTTAGAATTATATATTTATTCTGCCCAATAAAAATGCGATTTGCTACACAAAATGAAATTTGAGTAATCAGGAGTTATTGTTCGACTCACCTTGGGATTTGTTTTCGAAGCACTGGCAAAGGCACCTTACAGTACTGCAGTGCAAGGCTTTGATAGTTTGTTCAGCTCCGATTTGGATTACACAGGTTCTATAGGGTCCGCTAGTGCCCTCCCATTCTGTGGCATGGCCTCCAAGCCATATCAGTTGAGTCTCAGCCGTGCCGCACCTCGGTGGTATGCCCTCTCATGCTACCGTAATGCCTTAGGACTACAGGGAAGAGCAAGGGCGCTGCAATGCTGGCAGTGGCACGCAAATTTAATCTCAAAGGACATCTACACTGATTTGTGTAGCTGAAGGCAACACTTTAACTTGACGAAGGAAGGATATGCGCTGCGGATGGGAGAATCTGTGAAGACGTCTGACGGAAGGGCTGAAAGTGACGCTGACCCCTGGCAAATGGTACAGTCTTCTGTTCCGCAGGAATGTTATTAGCAAATGAACTGACGCCAACCGTGAGCCCACTGGGAAGGTTTATGACAGATCTAGCCGAGGTACTCGTGTTAAGATGTCAGTTGGATGGACACGTGATGCCTCCTTCACTTCTACAAGCTGAATGGATTGCAGATGTAAAGATGGGTGAGTAGCACTGAAACGAGTACAACGGGGCAAGAAGGCAGAGATATGAAACAATATCAGCAGGAACATCAGTGTCATTTCAGTCAGTCTTGTAAACTGATTAAAACAACACCGTAACGAGTCCTTCGCCTCTTAGTTGCCCTTAGTGAGTATTTCTCGCTTCATTATCAGGCAATTTACAGGAGATTCGAAGAATTGTGCTGGGAGTTCTTGCACACAGCTGAGTCCCAAAACCCGGCAAAGTGCTCGGGCACCAAGACAGGTAACTACGGCTACCGGTTAGATTGAAAGGAAGGACCGCCTTTCGTGCCAAGTCAGCAGCGTAGGTAAAATCCACCTCTCTCAGGCCAAGTCGAGTTCACGAGGTCATCTCTAGTTTAAGTGTACAGTCGTAAAACGATTAAATGACTGGTCATTCTCAAATCGAGTAGTTGGAAACGAAATCTTTAAGCCGATATCACCTGCTTGCAAAATACCTGACCCGTATAATTTTCTCTACTTCTTTGTCAACATATAAAGCAATAAATTCTACCAGTTCAAATATTTCCTTTGACAAATTAGCATAGTTAGACGCATTTAGAGAAATCAAGTATCTTTAATGCTAATTTGCCCATAATCTTTCTCATCAGTGATCTTCTTGCCTTTATGTGGCTTCTGAAAAATTACACTTTCGAAAGAAGAAATTCATTGGAAACTTCCCATCTCCGTCTCCAGTACCGATTTATAAAACTTTCCGTGCCATCACGTCATTTGGAGTAATGCCTGCGGTTCATAAAATACTGCAGACTTTCCTTCCACACCGACAGCACGGTTTGATCCAATGTTTTCCTCGTGTTCCTCTGTATTTGGCATTTTCTGCTATCACTGGTATGCTACATCAACTTAATATTGTTAGCTTTAAAAAAAGTTTACAGTTTACCGGGTTATTTATCTAAAGAGCTCAAACAGTTTATAGTAGACAAAAAGATAAAAGCTAAAGAATGTGTATAGGAAAAGGGGTTCTGAAGGCACCACCCATCTCTGCGCTTTTGGCAATGTTGGCGCCAAACATTTTTGCCAGGATTATACTTCTCCCTCCAACACATCATAATCCCATGCAGTAGGTCACCTGTGGGTGGTGCTGCAATTTGTGCGAAGTGATCGCGCAATTTGGCTTGACCTTTACAGTTAGGCAGCCTTAATTTGGTACGTAGAAGGGAGGAGGGTACCACTGTGTCGACTGGCGGATCTGCTTTGACTTTGGCAACTTTTGAAATTGTCGTCGTTTGCGTGGCTGTAGTCCTTGCTTCAACTTAGCGTGGGTTAGTGCAAATTGTCGGCTGTTTTATTCGTGTGGAATATCTCGGCCACTACAGGCTTGTATTGTGAAGGCAATGCATCACTCACCGACTATCCATTTTCAATGCACAACAACTATGATTCCTTCACTAGTAGAGAACTGTTGCCAATCAAATGCAC